TCCCCAACCATCCGTCCCGGGGTTGGCCCCAAGCCTGCTCTTCCTGTCCCTGAGCGGGCCCAATGCGGGGAAGGGGGGAGCAAGCCCAAGCCAAGGGAAAAGCTGGGCTGCCACAGCCCAATCAGGCCCAGGCCTGCTCCTCCCTCCGCTGGTGCGGCGGGGAGGGAGGGAGCAGGCCCAGACCCCAAGCAGCAGGAGAGAAGGGGCTCCATCCCTGCCTGCTCCTCCCCCACCATCATTCTTGACGGGCAATTGGCTAGTTAGCGTATAACATCCAGACATTTTACATGAAACCCTGGAAAACCTGATACATTCTTTTATAATTTTTTGTTTCTATAAAAGGTTTACATTCAAGTAGAACCTTCCCATATAGCATGTTACCGCATTTAAAAAACCCATATGACACACTGAGTAGAGAAATATTCATGTACAGAGTTTGCAGAATATTTAAGATTTTAAAGGTTATAATATTTTCTTCCTGCATATTACACTATGGTTTTATTTAGGTTTGAATTGAGCATCCAAACTGCTTCTACATTTGTGTCTTCTCCTAATCACAAAATAAAAAGGAAGAAAACCTTACTGAAACACAAACTTTACCTGCAGAGGCTATACCCAACACTATTATCAAATAAATTAAACAACTAATCGTGAAGCCTCCCTCCTGTGAAGAAGTATTAAATCAGTCTAACCATCAGACATTACAAATTATGATGGAAATCAACAGTATAGAATCTTTTCCTTACCTGTCTACTGTCTCTCTGGGATGATGAAGAGGAGGCACTTTTATGTGATGGAGTAGATGTTTTGTGAGCAGGAGATATACCCTTTTCCTCTGAACTCATGGTTGCAGCTAATTCCTAGTGATGATCTTGTGGTGTTAAAACCATGCCAATCCTCTCTGAAACTCATGTACAAAATGAGACTGGAATGTTTTTCCACATAATTGTTTCACAGTTTATCCTCTACTGGCAGGAAGGAGATGAACTCAGCTGGCATCCAAAATTCACCTTAATTTTTAAAAAAAGAAAGGAAGGAAGAAAAAAAAGAAAGAATGAATAAGCTTTCACCCTTAAAATGTTTCACTGCTCATTTGCAAGTAAACCAGAAGAAAGATCAGCTTTATTTACACCACTAGGACTCTTGGCTGCTATGTTATAATATAGTTTCATGAATATATTCAACAGATCTCATCTTTATTTATTTTTTTTACACCTGTAGTTGGTTTGCATTTTTTTACCTGCAATTGCAGTAACATTAAAATAATTGAAGAACAGTGTCTTTGTAATTTACAAAAATCCTTTCTTCTAAAAAAAAAGTCTACAGAACTTTTACAAGGGGATTTTACCCTTAGTTGAAGTACTTTCGTGGTAGAGCTAGACTTGTCAATCAAGGTACGTTGGTAGCCACGTGTATAAAGATCCAGGCAATTTAAGAAAGCTCTACGATGCAACTTCAGAATTCCTTCCTTTAAACTTCAATTCCCAGGTTATTAGATAGAACAAAAGATTCACGTACCCAGCTGACTACAGAGCAACTTCAAATGTTACCCCAACTTCAACTACGTCTGTGCACTGTGCCAAAAAGGAAATTGAAAAGAATGTGACAGTTTAGCTTCCATTAGAATTTTCAAGCTTGTTTTAGAACTGTGGCATTTTATGTGATCTCCTTTTTATGTAGGAAATCACCTTCGGCATTTAAAAACAACCCAAGATCTAATGTACGCCACCAACACCCCTCCCCCCCCCCAGCAGGTAGTCTGTGGAGAGGGAAGGGTGGGGCAGATCAAGGCAGAGGAAGAAAAAATTATTTGGGGGCACACCTCCACAGCAGGAAAGTCCCACCCAGTCAGAGCCCCACTCAACTTACCCCTGCTCCTACCTCTGCAACAGTGTCCCTCACTGCAGGGGCCTTGACCGAGCGCCCCCGTCTCTTTCCTCCTCCATGGACCTGTTGGGCTAAGACATGCGTGTGCATGCACATGAGCACTCAGCCCCCACCTCAACCTTGAATCAACTCCAAGAGGCTCCAAGATCTACTGCAAGAGGCTCCGAGATTTACCGGTGGATTGAGATCCACTGGTTGGCGATGACTGGTTTAGAAGAATGCTTCAATGGGCATTTGAGTAAATTCAGACAATTTCTCCTATTCTACTTGTAATGAATTTGCAAACTTCATTATGAATGACAGATCCAATACCAATGTGTTACGATGGAGGGAAACAAAGAGTAAACCACAAAAATGCCTTTTTTGTCCTTTCATTCTTTTTAATAAGTAGGTGCAATATAAACATAGATCCAATACTGTGTTAAGAGTCTGTTTTTCCATTAGCTTTGGATAAAACTGCTCCTTGAATGAGCTTCCCCATTTTGAAGCTGACATTTACTTTCTCTACTCATTCAATAACATTTTCAGATTATGTGGTCCTTCAAATAACCCTTGACAATGGTACTGAGGAAGAATGAGATGAGTCAAGAAACTAGGAAACCTGGAGAGGACACATGTAAAGCCTCACTCATAACAGTACATTAGTGCAAGAGATTAGCATTCTGATGCAGGGCACCAGAGGCTGGAGAACATCATGCCTTGTGGCCACTTCTCAATCCTGTATTGTCAATATTAAAAAGCAGGAATCTGTGGATATTAAAAACTATCTAGTCTCCTACAAGAAACAGGTTGCGTAAGGCCATTTGGTAGTGATGAGAAAACCAGAACATAATTTGGGCTGTATGATAGCTGTTTTGTGTGCATTTTCTGTAAAGAACATTCTAAAGCAGAGATGTCAGAGATACAAGTCACAGAGCCCCACAGTCTGGTCCACAGTCCTGCTCCCAGTCTCAGAGCTGACCTATGTATGGCACACTGGACCAGCCCGTGTAGCCTGGTTCAGATGGAGCAGGCACTACATGAGCTGGATCTGGCATGTGGGAGAGGAAGGGAGGGGGTTCCATGAGCCCAACCTAACCCATGAATTGGCCCCACACTCATCCAGCCCAAGAAGCCAAGCAAGTTTGACACCCCCACTCAAAAGAGCAAGTTATTGTAAAACATCCATGTAGATGACTACTACTCTGCAAGCAAAATGTGAAATAGCACTTCAGATTGTACCTTTAGGAAGGCAGAGGAGTTGAAGATAAATCAATGTACCAGTAAAAATGTATTTTTCATATAAAGCTGAAATATACCCGATGAGATGTCTATCTAGTAATTTGTACCTATATTTTCAGTGGCTCAACTAAGAAAGGGTGGGGGGGTGGAAATCTTCTTTGGAAATGGTTTAGGATCTCCATCCTGATCTCTTGTTTGTGTGAATCTGCCTTTGGAATGTTTGAGCATAGAGTAAAAGAGACTTCTTGTTCCTGGAAGTTCAGTTTTCCTGGTTTGAAGATGGTGGCATGTTGCAATGCTCATATTCCCACAGTCAAGTGTTTCAAATGACAGGAAGAGGAAGGAAAAAAAATCAGCCATATTGATTTTGGAATTGCACTTAAGTCCAAGTATTAAGTGGGGCTGGATAGCTCTGCCTAACATTCCTG